AAAGTGTAATGGTAAAGAAAATTCCAGACCTTAATACCACTCAAGGTAAATTGACACAAGTACATTAAAATTTAGAAACATTACTTAGAAAACCAAAAATTGTTGATAAAAGGAGATTATGTTATGAATTTCTAGCTGCACACATGCATATTCATTAATTTAGAGTCTTTTAAAACAACAACTAGCATGAAAACTTATCCTTTTGCATATATTTATATAATTTTAAAAATTTTAGAAAAATACATTATTATATTAGAGAGCATTCATATTCTATTTGTCAGCATCATATGCATTATGGCATGTGTCTACCAAATGCAAAGCAAAGCATGGTGTTAAACAAGGAATTAAGATATGTATAGTTAAGAAAACTAATAATAATCGACTCAAAACTAAGTGGGGTGCCACAAGTTATTTTCTAACTTGGTATAGGAATGTCTTATGTGCAATTTGGAGGATGAAAAGTGGTATATGGATTGTGAATGTTCAAGACATATGACGGAACAAAAGAATATACGCATGGATGATAAGATTCTAAAAAAATAATAGTAATATTATTGAAGATGTATTATCGATGGCTTGAAATAATAGTTATTTAGTATAAGTCAAAATGTGATAAAGACTTAGGACTAAAGTTTAGAAAAAGTGCATGACATATTGTTAATTTAAAAATGATAAAATTATTTATTCCAGTGAAAGAGTTACTCCATCCATTTCAAAATATAAGTCACTTTACACTTTGTACATAAACTAAGGAGACAATCATTATACAATTAATTTGTGGGTCAAATATTTGGTTTGTTCCTCATTAATTGTATTGAAATTATAAATAATACTAAATGAAAAATAGTTGGCATCATTTATTGAAGGTAAACTTGGAAATTAAGCAATTAATTTGCCTTGAGTTCCTAAAACAACTTATATTTTGAAATATTCCGGTAAATCTAAAACGACTTAAATTTTGAAATTGAGGGAGCAATAATGTTTATTTACTGGATATGAAAGAATTACTAAATCAAAATGTTTATTATCTATCTATTTCACATGATGATGCATGGTTATGTTAGTATGGATTATTTGAATGATTTAGGCTCCAAAGAATCAGTTAAAGATTCGCTCAAAATTAAATAAGTTAAAGATAAATTGTGTGATTGCATGTCAATATGGTAAGCATAATAAAACTTCTTTTAAAACAAATAATTGTGCATCTACAAATAAACTATGGGAGTTAATTCACATGAAATTGTGTGGGCCAACTCAAAATGCTAGCTTAGTCAGAAAAATGTATGTATTTGTTATAGTTGATGATTATACTCCATATACTCAGGTTGTTTTTCTTACATATAAAAATGAAACCTTTGATGAGTTTGCAAAATTATTTAAAAATATTTAAAATGAATTGGACGACTAGTTGAAATTCATAGTGAAAATCAGTGGCGAATTTAGGGTGCCCATGGCCCTCACTGGCCCCACCCTAAACAAATAGTATTTATATAGAAATTTAATTATAATTATTTTTTATTACTTAATTTTGTAATTTTTATATGATTTTGGCTATGCTATTTCGTTTACTTCCCACACTTTTGTATTGGGCCAATCAGTATAGTCTAAACTCAAATCTAAAATGAAATTAAGTTAGCTTAAGTCATAAATTATTTTATCTTTTCAAAAAAATAAATTATTTTAAAATAATAAAAAATGTTGATTATTATTGAATGAATGGTGTTAAAGGCAACAACTATGTATCAAATAGATATCCCATATATAATATTTAAGAGTAACACATTTTTCTTATATCATACTTAGTGTTCGCAAATATCATACTAAAAAAACACACTTTGGAAAATAAATGACATATTTTCTCTATAATATTTTTTGGCCCCCACTGTAAATTTGTTCTAGATCCGCTACTGGTGAAAATGGTATCGAAATCTTAAATGATGTTTCTAAGAAACTTTGTGATAAATATGAATTTTTCATAATTTCAACAAAATGGAGTTGTTGAGAGAAAGAATAGAATTATTCAAGAAATAAAATAAACAATGCTTAATGAACATAATTTGTCAAAATATTTTTGGGCCTAAACCATAAGTACGACATGTTATGTTTAAATCGAACATTGCTTAGACGTCTTTTGAAAAAAAGACCCTTATGAACTTATGTATTTTAGAACACCCAATATTAAATATTTTTAAGTTTTTGGATGCAAACGGTTTATTCTTAACATGAAAGACAAATTGAGAAAATTTAATAAGAAAACAAATGAAGGAATATTTTTTCATTATTAAATTAATGGAAAGGCATATATAGTTTAAAATAAAAGAACACTTGTTGTTCAAGAAGCAATTCATGTAAACTTTGATGAAAATACAACTAACAATGGTAGCGGAACTCAAAATGATGATGAAGAAGAACAACAATGTTTGGAAGAAAGATGATGAAAATAACCATGATGATGTCTCAACGCAAAGCCAACTTCCTAAGGTAAGTTATGAAGGTAATTAACTTTTTGACACTAATTCTACATTAAATGAATTACAAAAAAAATTGGACGTTCGAAAAGGATCACCCTCTAGAACTAATTATTGGTGATTTATCGACCCAAGTGAAAATGCGGTCAAGAGAAAGTTAACGTAAAATATTAAGAAAGCATTAGATGATGAATTTTGGATATTAGCTAAGCAAGAAGGACTAACTAAATCAATTTCCAAAAAGTAAAAGTGTTGATTTTAATATTAAGACCACAAAATTATCCAACGATTGGAACAAAGTGGGTTTTTTAAAATAAAATTAATGAAAATGGAGAAGTGGTTATAAATAAAGCTAGACTTGAAGCTCAAGGTTATAGACAAGAAGAAGGCATTGATTATAATGAAACTTTTTCAGTCGTTGCTAGATTAGAATCAATTCGAATATTACTTTGATATGAATTTATTTGGCCAATGGTGAGACTAAAGGCAAAACAAATTCTAATAACGAGACAATATAGGTCTTACTTTGTTATTATGCAGATGCTTTACCAAAGACTTGATTTCTTGCCCAAACCACAACAAAGAATTTAACCAAAATTGACCGAAGATTAGAAAAGAATAATAGAGCCACACAAAATTTAACCAAAATTGACCAAAGATTAGAAAAGAAGTATTGATGTTGATGTAACCCCAAGAGTAACGACTCTAACAAACCCGCTTAAATACTATGATGAGTACGGATAGATGCGGTCCCTCACAGTGACACCTAAAGAACTCCAAAATAACGACACTACCCTTATATGCACGTTCGCTACCTTATGCAGAATAATACTAGATATCGCTAAAAGCCAAATTAAAGAAAAAAAATGAGTTTTCTCTTAAGCTCGTATTGAATAAATTTGTTAAAGGTACATTGAGGCTTGGCTGAAAATCCCCTATTTATGGCCGAAACTTCCCTAGGAATTAGGAGAAGAAATAGAATTTCATATCTATCCCTACTTCTACAAATTCAAAATCAAATCGAACTCTAATTACAATTCATATCTTAACTACAATGATAGCGAACCTAGACACTTTTTATTTTTTTTTTTACGCAAACAAACATTTAAAGCAATTCTCAAGGTTTTAGAGTGACAACCTTACAACATAGGTTCTACAACATAGGTTCAAAAACATACTCTCTCTCTCTCTCTCTCTCTCTCTCTCTCTCTCTCTCTCTCTCTCTCAAGTCGTCTAGGCCCTGCAACGCCACGTCCAGGGCCTAAAGACAAAAGCAAAGGAAATCACAACACATAAAATGAACATTATCCATTTCACAGCGAGTGATTCCCCGATGAATGAATGGAACCAAAGGAATGCATCACCACATCCTAAGAACAAGAACATAGGAACTAGAGATAAGAGCCTCCCAAGCTTCCTCTCCCATGGTTGCCTTCCAACTTCAACATATTAGGCTCCCCACATTAAACTCATGGTTCCAACAACTAATACCACGCCCCCAAGTCTATACAAGTGTTGCAACTCCTTCCGCACATTGTGAAGCACGGTCCTAACAGTAGCCAAGCCAAATCCTTCCATCACGTAAAAAAACTTTCTCGTAGCATATGAGAAGCTGCTTGCATCTTCAGCTGGAGCTGCAGTAGCAGAAGAAGCTGCAGCAACGCTTTCCTACCTTCCTAAAGCCTTAAACCCTGGGACAGAGTACATTCATGGCAAGGACGGCAGATGGTCTCCAAAGTTTGCATTCTCTGTCGCCAGACTACCCATTTGAATCTCCACGCCATCACGAACGCAGCCGGTGTTACGGCCGGCGCCGCCATTTCCACTGCCAGTGCCAAACACTTTTATAGACTTAAGACACATAAAGTCTAGTTAAGGAATAAAATAAAACCCATGATACAAAAAGATATCCTCCAAAAACAACTCCTCCATGCTAGGGCTCTAAACAAACCGATCATACCTAGTTCAACCGAGTCAGAGTTGAGCTTGATTTTTCTCTCAAAAGAGCTCGAGTTTGACCCATAATGGAAAGAGTTTATCTGAAGATTGAGTAGACCAAGTTCAAGTCGAGCTAGAGTCAGCATGCAGAGAAATCGATCCGAGTTTGAGTTTATAGAATACTCACTTTTTAGCTTGTCAAGCTAAACAAGCTCATAATAATAATAATAATAATAATAATAATAATAATAATAATAATAATAATAAATTAAAAGTAGAATCTCGTTTTTATCCACTTTACTTCTTGGTCAAGAATCAGATCTATCCGCTATTCCCATTCTTTTTTCACCCTCCATAGTTCGAAGCTCAAACCCAGATTCTAAACTCAAAAAATTTCTGAATTCTAAAAGCCTCACAATCATAATAATATTTGCTATGTATCCTATTCTACACATTTCTAAAAGCCTCACAATCATAAAGTGCACGTGATTCATCCCTGTTAAAGTCGGCTCGTATAGTAAATTCGCAGGGCTCTCTCTCTCCCTTCCTCAGCCGAAACCCTAGCTCGCTGGACTCCCATCAATAACGGCCATTATGGCCAGAATTTCTCCACCGGTGGCCCCTCCACCGCGGACATTCGCCAGTTTCTTCCAAAAACCTCCTGAGGTTGAGGTGAACGTAGATTCTCTCATCAAGCAAGTGAAGTTTGTGAATGGAACTCCAACTTTGGAGTATGAAGACGAAGAATTTGAAAGATTGGTCGCGCCACATAGGCTGTGCTTAGTGGGGAAATTCTCCTATGGCCGCCCTAAAATGGAAGAGATCCACAATGAATTTAAGAAAATTGGCTTTCAAGGTGGGTATACCTTGGGTCGCATGAACCCTAGGCATGTATTGATTCGGTTTGATCAAGAGGAAGATTACCAAAGATGTTGGATTAGAATATTTTGGAATATTGGTGGATATTCAATGAGGATATTGAAGTGGAAACCCGGCTTTAAATTCCAAGAATACCCCTCGGTTATGCCTATTTGGGTTTCCCTCTATGATTTGCCTATTGAATTCATGCATCCGGAAGTCATATTCTCAATGGAAATGGCGCTTGGCAAGCCCTTGAAGGTTGATGCACCTACTTTGAATATGACAAGGCCATCAGTTGCGAGATTCTGTGTTGAGATCGATCTCACTAAGGAGCTTCCAAAGTCAGTGAAGATAGGGAAAAAAGGGCGCAAACTTTGGCCAGCCCCAAAGAAGAAAGGTCTTAAATTGGCCACCGCAAAGCCGAAGTGGCTGTTTAAGGGTGATGGTGAAAAGTCAGCAGGCTAACGTTTGAAGGTGCAAATATTAAATAGCAATCCTCTGATTGTCAAGGCAACTGAGAGTCAACCAATTTTTTTGAAAAAGCCAACGTTGATAGAGCCTGAAATTTGAGTCGCAGGTAGTAGTGAATGGAACCCTAGATGAGTTGCATCCCCTGCGGATAGCATTTATGCGGAAGGAACCCAAGCTGCGTCGCACCCCCTGCGCAAATTCCATCTGCTGAAATTGAATCACGATGTCATTAGTCGACGTCCATTTTATCAGTGGCAGAGAAGAGTTCCATTCCAGTGGATATCCCAGCAGCAGCGACTCTGACATCCGCCTCAAATAGATTTGCGGTTTTGGAAATGATTGAAGAAGAAGATGAACTTGTTGTGGTTGATGAAGATGAACATGTTGAAATATTTTCATTGAGGACTTGCCCCCTCCACAACCCAGAGGCGGTGGGGTTTACTCGTCGATTGATAGATCTTAGGACGATGGAGATGTTGGTAGGACCTCGGGTGCTACTGAATTAGAAGCTGGTGCGCATGGTAGCGTGTCAGACGGGGATACTGATGATGCTCTGGTACTTGATTCGGTGCAAGGGGAAGAATCGGTACCCAAAAAGCATGGTCAAAAATCCCAAGTCAAAAGGGCGTTGTTGCAAGATGGGGTCCCAAGGCGCTCATCGCGTCTCCAAGAATAAGTCTCGGTTACCCTCTCTTTTAATAATTTCCATGATTAGTCAACTAATATGGAGTATTAGAGGTGTTAAAAATCAAGCGTCGCTAAGACGGTTAAGCTTTTGAATATGATGAATAAGGTTTCGGTTCTATTCATTATAAAGCCTATGCTTCCTAGTTATCAGATTGATAGTGTTCCGAGGGATTTGGGTTTTGAAATGGCTTTTTCTTTGGCAACAAGTAAAATCTGGGTATTTTGTAGAAATGGCTTGTCATTACGATTGTTGGAAAGTAGCGATCAAGTTATCCACTTTGAGGCTATGCATTGTGCGGTTCCAGGGAAGTTTTTACTCTCTGCGGTATATGCAAAATCCACTAGGAATGCAAGAAGGCTTCTATGGCAGAATATGGTGGACTTTAGATTGATGTATTCAGCTGCTCCTTGGTTGATTGGAGGTAACTTTAATGTTATACGTACTTTGGATGAGTATTCTGGGAACTCTGTTCAAGACCCAGTGGCGACAACTGAATTTAACGAGTGCATTCTTGAATGTGATCTTTTGGAATTGCCGGGTGTAGGAGAGGTATTTACATGGGTTGAAACACGACATACAGGCCGGGGGAGCAAGAGGCTTGATAGAGTTTTAATCTCGCAAGAATGGAGTGATTTGTTTCCAAGTTTTTCTTTGGAGAATATAAGCAGAACAACTTTGCAGAATGGAGTGATTGCCCTATGCTTCATAAGTTTGATGTCAATATTGAAAGCAAGCCAAAGATCTTTCGCTTTCAAAAAATGTGGCTGAGAAGATCTGATTTTAAGGAGATAGTGAAGGAGAGTTGGGAGCAGCCATTGGGGGTTTCGGGTATGCTTGGGTTTGCTTTAAAACTTAAGCGTTTGAAGGAGAAGTTGAAAGTTTGGAATAAGAAGACCTTTGGGGACATTTTTGCCAACTTGAGAGATGCTGGAAATAAAGTTCAAGAGCTGGAAAATGCTTTTGATACCTCTGGCCAAGAACAAGATAGAGTGAGCTTGCATGTTGCCAAAGCGGAGTTGCTGCTTCGATTAAAGGAACATGATGATTTTTGGTCACAAAAGATGAAATTGAAATGGATGAAAGAAGGGGATTCCAATACCTCTTTTTTTCATGCCTCATTGAAGGAGAGGAGATTAAAGCAAGGCTTATTCAAAATTTGAAGGCCGGATGGGTTAATGTTAGAGAATATGGCGGACATTGAACAAGAAGCGGTGAGATTTTTTAAGGATCTTTTGAATGATGAAGAGCATTCTCTCTTGTGAGACTAAGCAAGCTGGTTTCCTTGGGAATATTCCTCATTTGCTGGATGCTAATGATGGGGAGGCTTTGCTCAGACCGATTGTCATGGAGGAAATAAAGGGGGCTGTTTTTGGATTGAATGAAGATAGTGCGCCGGGTGTTGATGGTTTTGCAGGCTACTTTTATAGGAGTTGCTGGGACATTATCTCCAATGATCTATGGATTGCATGCCAAGAATTCATGTTGGGGGTTCCCATTCCAAGATCTATTTCTAGTACGCTAATCACTCTTATTCCTAAGAAGATCAGTGTAACGAGTTTTTCGGATTACAGGGCCATAAGTTTGTGTACTTTCTAAATAAAATTCTGACCAAGGTTCTTACTGAAAGATTAAAGGTTGTCTTGTCTAAAATCATTTCAGAAGAACAGTCCGCTTTTTTGGAAGGGACAGATATCATGGACAATGTACTTTTGGCTTAGGACCTTTGTCAATTCTCGGGAAGAAAGGCGCAAGGGGGAAATTTTGTTTTGAAGCTTGATATGATGAAAGCCTTTGACCGCATCAAATGGAGTTTTTTTGGAGAAGGTTTATCCAAGTTTGGTTTCCCGCAGCACTTTGTATCATTGATTATGGGCAATCTTCGAAGAAGTTGGTTTTCGGTCCTTATCAATGGAGCGTCGGTGGGTTATTTCCCATCTTCAAGGGGCATTAAACAAGGGGATCCCTTGTCTCCTTACCTCTTCATCATTGTTTCTGAAGCTATGACAAGGAGTTTGAAATCTCTAGTGGCGAATGGAAAGGTAGCTCATTATGGATCGCCTTGTGGTTCAATGCCGGTTTCACATTTTGCTTTCACTGACGATGTAATTATCTTCTCTAGTGGGCTGAAGCGCTTATTGGAAGTGCTAAATGGCTTCTTTATTTATTATGATAATGCTTCAGGTCAGAAAATTAGTCGCCAAAAGAGTACATTTATGGTTTCAGAGAATTGTTGTGCGAGGAAATTCGCCCGAATTCAGCAAATCTTAGGGATTCAAAAAGGAGCTTTTCCTTTTACTTATCTTGGATGCAGGCTCTATCAAGGTAGGCGGAAATCCTCCACTTTTCAGTTCCTCTTGGATGGCATTGATAAGCGTCTTTTGAGTTGGAAGAACAAGCTATTGAGTCAAGGTGGCCGTTTGATTCTTATTAAGCATGTTGCTATCTTCCATTCCGATGCATGTGTTCTCAGCTATTCCTCCCCCAAAATCTGTCATCAAAAACATAGAAAAACAGTGTCAGAAGTTCTTTTGGGCTGGTACAAGTGAAGAAAAGAGGAGACATTGGCGGTCATGGGAGCAACTTACTTTTCCGGTCCAAGAGAATGGTTTGGGTATCCGTGATTTTCAGGGTTTCATTGATGCTCTAACGGTTATGGTTGAAATTGAAGCAAAGGAGAGGAGTTTGGAGCAAGTTTATTCATTCTTTGTCCTTGGCAGCAAAGAAAAAAACTTCTTGGAGTCGTGTTTCAAAAGTTGGAGCTCGGGTTGTGCAGCATACAAAGGTTGTCATCTGGCGAGGGAATAGGTCTTTTTGGTTTGAAAATTGGTCCCCTTTTGGTGTCCTTTGGGGGGAAGAAAATACTCAACCGCCTTATCCAAGCCTGAGTATACGTGATTTTTTCAAGAATAGACAATCTTTGATCCTGAAATACAAGGTTCTCTCGGCAGCAACATAAATGACTTCCTTGCGACGCACATCCAAGAATTTTTGGATGATAATGGGAATAATGATGATTTGCTGGTATGGAAGCATACTTCTATTGGAGATCTTACCGTGAAATTGGCTTATGATGTGATCCGGCCAAGGAGGCAATCGGAAGGATGGGCGCGTACTGTTTGGAATCCTTTTACTCCTTTGCGAGTTTCAATTTTCTTATGGAAGTTGTGCAATAGATTAGTGCCATTTCCGGAGGTGCTAGACCAAATGGGCATTAATGTGTATCCAGCAATTTGTCTTGTTTGTAGGAATGGTGGGGATGGTCTTTTCCACTGCTTCTATGGGTCCTATTGCAGGTGTGGCGCCATTTCTCAGCAATTGTTGGAGTTAATATACTTGGGGTCTCTTTGCTGGCAGCCATGCTTAATAGATGGTGGAATGGAGGGGATTTTAAAACAGCTTATGGAGTAATGACGAATCTTATACCATCCCTTATTGGTGCTTGCCGAGTTCACCAAAAAAAAGATAAATATTACTAGCTTGGATTATGAGTTTTGTAGATAATGGAAGCTAGGTCGATCCCACGAGGACAGCTAATTACCAAATTTGTTGTGAAGAAAAACTGTCAGTCAACAAGGTGTCACTCAGGAGAACGAAAACAGTCACTCAGGGGAATGGGGGCCAGGGGTGTTCTTCTCCTCTTCCTGCTGTTGTAGTTGTTTTATTAGCACAGTAATGGTTGAGTTCTTGTTCACTCAGCTCACTTATAACTCTAAGTCAGTTCCCATTTTTCCTAGAGTCATCTTTGCAACCTTAACAACCTATTTTCCAATTGTTGATTCTGGCTACAAAGTCATTAAGTTCCTAGGCCTTCAAGAATGCTTATGTTAACTAAGTATATTCCTATCTTAGTTAAAACCATAGACTGTTACCTCTATGTCATAAGTTAAAGTTGAAACAATCCAAACCAAGTTTATCCTTCCAGATCTTCCTTAGTTCTAGCATGCATTCAATTTAGTGATCAAGTAAATGAATGTAGAAAAACTTTCAACCATAAAACAATGAACAAAACCAGTGCTTTGACAACTACAACATCAGTTGAGGAGAATACCCCTGGAAACTGTTTAGCTACTCATACGAATAAATGCTACATCTACTACATCGAAGGACATCATAGAAGTATGCATAATAAATAAAGTTCAAGCTAACAGTCAAGAGATGAGAAGGAAGCTTGTGCAGTTTCTGAGTCACTCCTGGGAGTGAAAGGGTCCACTCGTGGAACTGAAGAAGAAACTGGGTTGCTATTCTTCAACTTAGCTTCCTCCCTGAGTTGTTGCTGCTTCTTCTTCTTTCTTGTCTCCTACCTGGAGTTTTTCTGAATGTTTTTGCAACTAAGAAGCTAACCAGAGACTGATGGAGAGATGCTTTCTTTTGAGAGTGCAGTTCCCTCTCTTATAGGGCCTTGCAGCCGGTGTCTTCATCATGAGAACCTCCCCATGCTTGGAGTTGTTTAATCCTTCCAATGTCTTGAGCCTGCAATCCAACTTGGCCGTTCCTTTTCTCTCTTCCAGCAGCAGCCGTTTTGCTCTCATTGATCAGTAGTGGTGGCTGGGATTGCGGCTGGGGGAGAAGCATGCCTTTAGGAGGAGGCAAGGCCATTAATGACAAGATGCTTCTTGTCTAAGACCCTCCTTCTTCGTCCAGCTCAGCACCCTTGCCTCAGCAGTCCATAATTTGCTCCTTTGGCTTCCAATTTTCAGCAATTTTTCAGTCTGGTCCTTTCCTAACAATAATATAAAAATGAGCTAAGTAAATTGCACCAATATTAGGAAATACCCCCAATTGTTCATCAAATACAAAGTTAAGTGTGATGCTTTTATGTAACAATTTAACCATTATCACTTATTATTTGGGAAATCTGGAAGTGTCGAAATAAGGTGACTTTTGAGGGTATTGCCCCCAATTTGGCTAAGGTAATCTGAACCATTGTGGATCAGGTGCGTTCCTTGATGATGATTCATGATCTTAAGATCAAAAATGAGTCTAAAAAATCATTTTTCTATCCACTTTTAATGTTCATCTATACCGAATGCTTCGGCCTAGGGTAGTGGAAGTGAAGTGGATTCCTCCCCCGGTAAATTCTTTTAGCCTTAACACTGATGGTTCTTCAAGTCGGAATGAGGCAGGTTATGGGTTTGTAATCAGAGGCACAGGGGGCTCTTTTATTTATGGGGAGAATGGCTATCTTGGTGATGGCGATAGTTTCATGGCAGAGGTGTACGGGGTACTATTCGGTCTCCGCAAATGTGAGCAGCTTGGTTTATCAAATGTTGTTGTTCGGACGGATAATAAATCATTGGCGGATTCTTTAGAAAGGGGCTCTATTTTTCCATGGAAATATTTGTTGCAAGAGATATATGCATCTTTGCAAAGGAACGCTTTGACTATCACTTATATATACAGGGAAGATAATGCAGTCGCGGATATGATAGCGAAAAAGGCATCTTCCGGCTCTTCTGGTGTTTACACTTCTTTAGATGCTTTGCCGAAATATGTAAAAGGATTATTGATCCTTGATCAATCATCCTTCCCATACTTTAGATCTCGAATCTTGTGATGTAACTGCAGCTTTTGATTTAACTATTAATAAATAAATGGGAGGGAAGGAGCTAGGGAACTAGATGGTATTCATGTCCATCCTTTGGGTAGACCCCTTGGGTGCGTGGTATCATCTAGCACTGGTTGATGCAGGGAATAGCTCTTGGGTAGACCCCTTGTAGTATTTTCTGTGTTAACTGGGACCTGAATGCCTTTTCATCCTTTCCTTCTTTTGCTTAAAAAAAAATTATTGATTCAATGAAGCCTAATTTAAATGTTTGAGTTTCTCTGTTTGGGTTTTCTCCAATGTTCTCTCATGTTTACCAGCTTCAATCTACTCAATTTACTTTGATTTTCATTGTATCTTGGGGGGGGGTGGTTTAGTTTGCACTTTTTAAACGTTGAACTTCATCTTCCCCGCATCAATCTTCTTCTTGGCTGATGACGTCCTGATATGAATTCTTGAGGTGAGGTGATTGCATTACCTTAAACGCAGAAGCTATGAATTTCCCAAGACTTGATAACTTACGACGCCAATGGAGAATACTCCAAACCACACGAGAAAGAAGAAGAAAAGAAGAAGAAACGATGCAAATCACAAAAATCTGCATAAAAAAGAATGGAAGATTCGAAAGATGAAGAATTGTGTTTTGGTTAGCAACCCAATCGGTTCCTTTCTAACAACCCTATCCCTTGGATTTATTGATAGAACGGCTAGCAAAAAAGATTCAATGAACAAACTAATAAAGCTCTACACATGAAGAACACTTAAAATCACATGCACGCGTCAACAAAGCACAAAACAAGTGTGCAAAACACTAATCTTCGAAAAGAATAGAAAAAGAACAAAGACTTTCCTCTCGTCTCGTATTGAAATATCAATAATTATCAAAAATATATGTTTTTGGTCGACCAAGGCCCCTTTTTATAGGAAAAAAGGTTGGTTTGGACAAAAAGAAACCGAATACAAGTTCAAATCGGATTTGTCTACCTAAGTTTCCTAATATAGGTTTAAATAATAATTAAATTAATAATTGCACATGTCACATTTATTTAAAACCATCTAAAATCTTCTAGAGGTGTATAAGAGTCGGCCAAAAGGGTTAAATGACCGAAAAATCCTTTTCCTAATCGAAATAGGAAGATAGGAAAATTCTGCCCGTGGTCGTCGACCTTGCTGTTGACTGGCAGAATGCTCGACGTGCCAGTAACGACTTCCTTGTCGACCAACCATCTGCTCGACGCCGTCCTGTCGACCTTGTTGTCAACCAACAGCCTACTCGACGCCAGTTTGTCAACTTTGTTGTTAACTTCTTCACCTTGACCAAGAGCTTGACATGCACTAAAAGTTTCGGTTCCACTCAACCTAAACATGATACCCATGGAATTGAATCCACACTGAGAGTTTGAACATCCATGAACAAGTTATTGAGCGACTCATTCATTTTCCTCATTCGAGACCTCGTCATAAAACCTCCAATATTTGCTAATAGATCTTGAATCACTCTTTGAGCTTGAATTTGATTATTCGGTTGAACAACGAGTTGTCCTTGAGCTTGATAACCTTGGATGTCCACATCATTATTCTTTATTGATTTCTTCTTCTTGACTAAATCATAGTTGCGCACCTTGTCATCTTTCTAGTCTATCTCCTTTGCTTGACCATCATGTCGACGTGATTCTTTCGGCTTCATTGTCGACTTGATTCTAGCTTGACGCGAACCATATTTTGGCTTCAATCTTCCATCATCCTTAATTGCAACCTAAATATGACAAAATATACCCCCTATGTGATCACAATCGATGTAATGATCATCAAAGTTATGTATGATACTCAACGGACCATCCAGGATCGCATCATTCCCCCCTTCCTCGAAACGATTCGTCCTCAAATCATGCGTCATGTAATTCTCGAGGAACAAATTCTTCATGGTCTTCTTATGCAGCTTCACATACCTCCCTTGATCATCAAGTATCCAGAACTCTTAGAAATTTTGGGGAACCAGAACTTCTCGTGAGAATACATCACCAAACACAAAATCAATGTGTTCAATCTCTTCGTATGAATCCCTGAGAATTAGATCTTTTAGTTCAACAACCACTTCGAGCGAACAAGATGTAGGAATAGTAGAGACTGAAATATCCATTGTGATAGGAACATTATCAATAACTACTTCTTCATCATTGTCATTTGCCATAGTATCTCGAACATCATCAACAATATAGTCTCCATGACCAGCAACTTCACTAATTTGATAGTAATTCCACCTTGACATAGAGTTTAAGGTGTCATGAACTTCTTCTTCAATAGGCACAGTAATGGAAGAAAATATGTAGTAGAAATTATCCATCAAAGAAGAATTTTGTATCTTGGGCTCAACCAGTTCAAACAATGGCAAATAATCCGACTCCTCAATATCAACATCAAGAGGTAGAATATTGGAATCCAATGACATGGAATTATTTTTTTCAACAACACTTTCAACCTGTGAATAAGAAATAGAAACAATGAAAGAATTTATGTTGTTAGAAAAATTTTATTCCAAAACCAAATCTTAGATCTCTTGCTCGAGCTCATGTTGCCACTCTTCACATTCTTTCTTCTCTTCCTCTACCCCAACACGTTGTAATCTAATCTCTTCCTCATCGTCATATTGTTGGAAAGAAGATTGTAGTTTTTTTTGTATTCTCTACAATCTTTTGCATTTGAAGTTGCATTGCTTGACTTTGTCATTGCATGATCTCTTGCGATTGTTGTTGTAACACAACTTGCTCCTCTTTGATTCTTCTTTGTTCCTCTTTAAGAACTCCTTCTTTGTTTTGCTTTGTAGTCATCTCGCACCTCTCAAACTTTTCTTCTTTCTTATGGAGTCTTCCTTGTTTTGAAAATGTAGGAGTGAAATTCTTCCAAAGTTTTTGACGAAGGACTTCCCAAGAAATAATAGGAGGATCACCAAACCATTTTCTATCTCGCTCAAGATCCATCCACCATGTAATTGCATTTCCACGAAATTAGGACACGGCGAAATTTAGTTTCTTAGTCTCTGAAAAGTCATTAAGACAAAACACTCTTTCCACACGTGACTCCCAATCAAGATATTCATCTTCATCTTGTCGGTCATAGAGCTTGGGAAACTTTCTTTTAGGACCATAGTCAAGTCTATTATACTCTTCATCATAAACTCTACTATCATCATAATGATCATAGGACCCCATTGCACCTTTCTTATGACATCAAGAAAACACACAAGAACAAGAGTATCGAAGAACTCACAACCTTGTTACCACTCCCAACTATACTATTCACTCCAATTGATATGAAACTAATTCTAAGAGCCTTCAAAACATGCAAGTACCAAGATCACTCGAGAAGGTTTAGATTTAGTAAGGGATGGATTCACTCTTTTCTTGCCACGGTCTTTGTCCTTCAATCCTTAGTGCAATGAAGATTAGTGCTAATTTGTGCAATTCACTAAGAGAGCCGAAAAGTATGGTTTTGAATAATTGTAACAAGATCTAAAGAAGAACACAAACATAGATCAAGTAGTTACAATTATAAAAACTTAGATCTCACGAGAAAGGCTAGTAGAACTTGGAGCAAATTCTGAAAATTTAAGCTTCGATATAGGTTTATAGAAGGAACCCTAGTTCTCGACCACTACCACACAATTTAGGGTTTATATATTTCGAAACCCTAGCCACCAAACGCCAATAATTTCGAAAATAATGTGCAAATAATTCAAATAAGGTAACCTTTGATATACCTCTATAAAGAAGATATTTTCCTTTTCAATGCACACTCTCAAATCTCCTTAAATAAGGTACGATTTAATATACCTTTAAAAGAAGATACTTTCCTTTTAATATGTTGCCTATTTTTTCTTTTTTTTTTCTTTCTTTACTTTTTTTCAGCTACTTTCTTTTCTTTTTCTTTTTTTTTTTTTTTTCCTTATACTACCAAAAACAAGGATTAAGGGTTAAGGAACCCTAAAATCCGACCCTAGGCAGCAAACAACACACACAGCCGCCACAACACCAAATCTAACTACTTCAACATCAAACAAATTCAATCAAGAACAATTTTGAAGCAAATAGTGAGATCTATTACAAAAGACCCAAAAAAATATATAAAAACAATCAGAGATCAACCAAAGATGAGCTTTAAAAGATCAAAACACATGCAAGAAATCAAGAACCAAAGCTTTGAGGCCAAAATGATACGAATTCTTGAGGTGAGATGATTGAATTACCTCAAACGCGAAAGGTATGAATTTCCCAAGACATGATAACTTGTGACACCAATGGAGAATACTCCAAACCACACGAGAAAGAAGAAGAAAAGAAGAAGAAACGATGCAAACCACAAAAATTTGCACAAAAAAGAATGGAAGATTCGAAAGATGAAGAATTGTGTTTTGGTTAGTAACCCAATCGGTTCCTGTCTAACAACTCTACCCCTTTGATTTATGGATAGAAAGGTTAGTGAAAAAGCTCCAATGAATAAACTAACAAAGCTCCACACGTGAGAACACTTAAAATCATGCGCACGCGTCAACAACGCACAAACAAGTGTGCGATGCACTAATCTTCGAAAAGAATGGAAAAAGAACAAGATTTTCCTCTCGTCTCGTATTGAAATATCAATAATTATCAAAAGTATATGTTTTTGGTCGACCAAGGCCCCCTTTATATAGGTAAAGGTTGGCTTGGACAAAAAGAAACCCGAATACAACTTCAAATTGGATTTGTCTACCTAAGTTTCCTAATATAGGTTCAAATAATAATTAAATAAATAATTGCACATGTCACAATTATTTATAACCGTCTAAATCTTCTAAAGGTGTATAAGAGTCGGCCAAAAGGGTTAAATCACCAAAAAATCCTTTTCCGAATTGAAATAGGAAGATAGGAAAATTCTGCCTGCGGTCATCGACCTTGCTGTCGACTGGCAGAATGCTCAACGCGCCACTGTCGACTTCCTTGTCGACCGACCTTCTGCTCGACGCCCTCCTGTCGACCTTGGTGTCAACCAACAGCCTACTCGACGCTAGTTTGTCAACTTTGCTGTCAACTTCTTCACCTCGACCAAGAGCTTGACATGCTCTAAAAGCTTCGATTCTACTCAAAGCTAAACATCATACCCATGGAACTGAATCCACAATGAGAGTTTGAACATCCATCAACAAGTTATTGAGCGACTCATTCATTTTCTTTATTCGAGACCTCATCATAAAACCTCCAATATTTGCTAATAGATCTTGAATCACTCTTTGAGCTTGAACTTGATTATTCGGTTGAACAACGAGTTGTCCTTGAGCTTGATAACCTTGGATGTCCACATCATTCTTCTTTATTGATTTCTTCTTCTTGACTAAATCATAGTTACGCACCTTGTCATCTTTCTCGTCTATCTCCTTTGCTTGACTATCATGTCGACGTGATTCTTTCGACTTCATTGTCGACTTGATTCTAGCTTAACGCGAACCATATTTTGGCTCCGTATGTTCCATCATCCTTAATTGCAACCTCAATATGACAAAATGCACCCCGTATGTGATCACAATTGATGTAATGATCATCATAGTTAGGTATGACAGTCAACGGACCATCCAGGATCGCATCACGTCCACAACTCTTTCAACCAAATTTGTTGCTGATTCATCGCAAATATAGCCGAGAAAACTCCTCCTCTCCTACTCCAAAGAACTCTTCATATTCTTTATGCTTTGGCCACCACTCCAGAGCTCGCATCAGCCAAAATTCTCCTTCTCTTGTTGGGATTTCCTCATAGCTGCCTAGTTATGGTAAGATTGTTCCTCTTTGGCTGCAATTTGACTTCCATGGTTAATAATACTAGATGTTTTTGACCAAATTAATGCCAATTATTTCGGTTTCTCTTTCATATCTTTCTTTTTTTTCCTTTTCATGTCAATCTGTTCTGCTTTCTAGCTATTGTTCTTTTTAAAAGATTTATTATGTTTGTTGGTTGGGTAAAGCATGATGATGATGTTTGATCAATAGAGTCAGCGTTTTGACTCCACATTTTGGGATAAATGCTTAGTTGTGGTGGTAATAGTTTTTGTGTGTTCGGAGGACAAGGACATAACAATTGTGCTTCATTGGAGGGGCCGGTAAGCCAAATGCTCTTTTTTTCTTGTGAGCCAATTCTATGAGTTTGAATTTAGTCATCTTTCTATGGTATATTTGTTATGTTTATAGCTTACCTAATTTTGTACAGTTTGTAAAATGCGTGTGTTTTTAACTATACATTCAACAAATAATGGTATTTGTCTTATGGGTATATTGTTTTTTTTTTAGCAAACCACATGATTGTTAATTTCCTTATAACTTTTCTCTGCAACTCGCCCTAAGGTTATTGTCTT